CTGCTCTGTTGCAGCTCCGCAGCAGAATTCGATTTTTAGGTAAAAATAAAATAATCCTCCTTTGCAGTAAAATAAAGCTCTGTTGATCGTTCTAACACAGTTTTAACACAAAATGGTCGTAAACCCTGGGGTTAATGTAGCTTATAACTGCTAATTCACCAGCCTTTAATCCTGAAGATTGGCACGCAGACTGCTGATCACATAGCAACACAGACAAAAATCTCGCCTAGCTAGTAGCTAACGAAATGGCAAAGAGAAAGATTTAAGACAAACATTGATAATTTGGAGATGAATGGACAGACAATTTGCATTTCTAAGCACTCTAGCTGGTTTCCTGATGCGTTTAATCTGCAATGAGAAACTGTCAGCTTCTCATTCAAATTTTCCCATTCCACCTTAAATGGTACCGTAGTTATATTCTGGCGCCTCCGGCACCATTTAAGGTGGAATGGAAAAATTCAAACAAGAAGCTGGCGAGGGAGAAACTGACTTCAGCCTCATAAAAAGTTGAATGTTGAGAGACATTTTACAGTAAACTGTTCCGCTTTTGTGGAAAAGATTTCTGCCGGAGATGCGAGAAAAGCTGCTATAGCTGAGCTAAAGCTTAAAGCAGAGCAAAGTAAGTCTTTTTTTCGTTTATATTATATATATTTTAGCCTATACTAGTACATTAACACATACTGAGTCATATATATAGCCAAAATGTTGGGGCTTCCAAGGTAGTTTGATTTTTGTTGAAAGGACAAAATGGCTCTTCTTAACATTTGGGTTGCCAACCCGTTTTTAGACCAAAAGGATTCCAAAAACAGAGCAGTTCTAATGCTGACAGATACTGGATGTACCACAAAGTTCCCTTTCAGTTCTACTCTTTGCAGTATTTGAATCCTTTGACCTGATACGTCTTCACTCCAACTTTTTGGTGGCTGCTTTTAATTCTACATGAGTCATTAAATCATTGATATAACCACATTTTTCTGAAGTGTGGCTTTATTATACTACTCCACCCACCTTTGAAAGCAGTGAGTCATTATTATCATATATTATTATATATAGCCCCCAGGAACTCAGGGATGTGTCACGTCCAGTTTAGCTGACTTGTAATTGCAAATTTTAAGGCGCAATAAAGTAGAAGTATCATCTTTAACTGATGTCACTGTACATACAGTAGCATGTCAGTTCACTTAGCAGCGCAATCAATCATCTCAGGTTCCTCCTCAATGCAGGTAACACGCACTGGTGCTGTAATGGAGGTGTGAAATCCAAACGCTTGAGAGCGAGGATTTAAAAAAAAATGCTGAAGTTCTGAGTCTTGCACGTCCTGACCATGAAATTGCTTTCGACGGTAAATCTGTTCTTCAGTCCTCTTCTCTCTTTATCAAGATCGATTTTCAATCAGGCACAATCATCTTTACTTCCTCAGTTCAAGCGGAGACTTGAAACCTAACGCCTGTGAGACTCACTTCCCAACACCTGAGATCTGCACTGACAGCAAGGCAAATCCAAGACAAGTGTTTGCAATAGAGTAAAGTAGAAGCAGTCTTTCCATTAGAGGGTGAGTGGATGAATGGAGGTAATATTACCACAGTTCACTGAGTTGAAAATTTACTAAAAATGTTCATCGGTTGTTCACCTTTATCACAACAAAGAAAGTGCACCGAGACCATATTCTCATCTAAAAACATGCCTTGCGGGGAAGAACTCCTTGTTGCCGTTCCCCAGGAGAAATCTTTGAGGACGAGGTGAAAGGCATAGTAACATTTGCCAGAGGACAGGGGGATTAGAACCAAAAGGACTTTGAATCTATGTTAATAGCCATTGGAGAGGTTTTGTTTCTTGATTTTAAGCACCATGACCACCCCAAAATATGAATGTATAAAATGTCACATTGTTGCCATTATTCCACATCAAACTTCACAAATATGTGTCATATTATAGGTGCACATACATTTTATAGAGTCAGTTTTTTATGTCAAATTTGAATGCATAACCCAAAAATTTACATTCACTGTGATTTTATTCACTTCAAGGACAAAGTGCATGGATAACCTAATACCAAGACGCTTTTGGTTGTGGCACAGAAATCATGTTGCAAGTCTCCTGAGAGCCAAGGCACAGGCTTTTGCTCTCAGGGCATTCTAGTGGAACTGCCTTAAAGCCATATCTCCTCACAGGAATTATCCACATATAGAGGATCGATTTATGTTGGGCTATTTTTGATGATCAAATAAAAGTTCCTCTGATGTACTTTACAAGGGGGGGGATGCTTTCACTACTGCTGATTCTACCCAGAATGTAACGTGCAAGAAGTTTTCTTCTGAACTGAATCTCGAGAACAGAAATCCATGGTAAATTGGGTCCATGCTTTTTTGAAAAATCTTCACTTAATGACAAGGATCTCTACCAATTTAAGGGTACTTGCTAGAACCTTTACATTACGTGGAGGTTCTTTAAACTTTGCGAAAGAACCCTTTCTGGCCCCTTAATTTGTAAAGCCTCAAGGAACACTGTGTAAATATTCAGAAAAGGTTTGCATGTTATTAAAATTGAGTCCTATATTAAAAAAACAAGATAAAAACATGACAAAACAGAGATCTGAGAACTGGTTGGGCATGTTCCTAATGTTCTAACCAGCATGCGTGATTGACAACCCCTTTAGTCTACCACTCCCATCCTGCTACACCACTGAAGTAGAACTAAATACAACATGTGTGCAAGTATAGCGGGGAGAAATTAGTGAAACGGGCTCTACATACACAGGTTGTGTTGTAGACTCTCTCCACTGTGTCCATAATACACTAAAAACATTTTCCATCTGAAAGAAGCTAAGGTTCTTATTCAACTCCTGGTTGTGCATCAAGTGAATGCTGGCCTGACTGGCTAAACATATTAACAAACGCATGGACGGCTGAACAGATGAACAAATGAATGAATGGATGACAGGCCGACCTTGCTAGGCTAGCTTGTGCTTGTTATTAGCTTTCGCTCTGTAAAGTTCTCCGTAGAAGTTCTGACATTGGAAAGTTATTCACAGCACATATTTTGTGCATGTATATTGTGTGAGACTAACCTCTAGAAAACACAGATTTAGGTTACCTGGGGCTTTGAAAGTGTACTACACGTGTCTCGATCTGCTATGTTTTACCATTAATTGAGTCCAATCAACACAATAAGGCTATAATGTCCACAAATGCTTGACCTACATCACTATAGTCCTGCCTTAAATTTAGTTTTGGTTCTCTTGCGTTATCTGCAAAAGTGTTTGTCTCAGAAAGACAACACTGATTATGTCATGACAAAGTGGTTGTATGCATTATTGTGCCCGACAAAAGCATTCAGTCTGCATTTCAATGCACATGTGATGGATTCAGGTAACAGAATGGCCTGGAAATCTAGGACAGTATTACTACTAGGATAGTATAACTTACTTCCTACATGGTGCTTGGTACTGAACATTTTCAAAGTTATCCAAAAATAGAACATAGAATAACATGCATTAAAATGGTCTGTGCTAGCAGATGGAAAAAAGTGGCTCTCTGGTGTATTTCCTCCATATGCTGGCGAGACAAACTGCTGTTGCACATGGCTGAGCACTTGATTGACAGACCTCAGTCTCTAGATGGAGCACTTGACGTTTATCTTATTTGCTTTAGATAAACAACGTCAATTTGTGTTCTAATAGAACGCCTCATCCTTATAATCCTCCTGGTTAATTTGAAGAAGCTCACTTTCGGTTGAGCCGGCCTTCCATAAAACCTAATTTTCATAGTGATTCATTCAACTTCATATGGTAGTTAAGTTCTACACGTCTACCTAGACACAGATTGAGCTTGACTGCAAATGCAGTGCTCACTATTAATGCTGTAATTTTGGTGAAATCTGCTTGTTTTACATGCTTGTTTCTTTTGGAGTTTGGATTCTTTTCTTGTGGAGGATCTAAATGTAAGTTCATAGCTGAAATTTGTAGCAACCACTCCAAGGAACAGTAAAAGTCATGCCTGGAAAGCATAGAAATATGCAACTTTGGTGCCTAAAGATGAAACAAGTTAGTATGTAATCCTGTTTTTATTTTTAGATATCGCCCTGATTACCTTTCTGATTACTCCTGATTACTGATTACTTCCATTTTCAAGAATAGCATGTCAGAACAAACCATACATTGTTATTTTTATGGTTTACCACAGTTGGGGCCAGTCATTCTCTCATTTATTTCTTTGCATTAGCTAGCAAAATCATCATGTGTTAGCTGGCTACCTAATAGCAAGATATATCTGCACAGAATTCTATTACTGCTCCATATCGATCTATTGACAATTCCGTGGAAATAGACCTTTTGTATCTCTAGGTAGACAACAGATGAGAAATCAGGGAATGTTTTCTTAAACAGGAACGTAGATGAAACACTTACAGGAATAGGTCACCAAGGAAAGGAAGGTAGTAGCTACCAGTTAACATGATGCAGCTTGCAAATTAGTGGCTTTTGTGGTATACAAAAGCAAATCAACATAAACAAAGCATGCTCTGTACTTGTATGCTTACCTGGCAGACATGAGGATCACAACACGGTACTTTTGCCACATATTTTTTCAGATATGATAGCACTAAGGAAAAATACTGTTGCATATCTTTGAAGCATATCTCCTAAATCCAGTAATCAGGACCTACTATGTAGTCCATTTTCTGTTCTGTTCACGCTCCAAACACATTTGAACCAGATTGTGATGGTCTGAATGTCATTTGCTAGAAGCCAAAAGGAATAAAATTATAGTTTGTTGGGGATCCCTGTGATCTTCTTATACCTTCCAGTCTATTGCGCTTGAAACTATAGCAGCTCAATATCTAGGACATTTTTATTTATCAGATTAAATTTGAATTTATATGTCAGGGATAAAGATTTATTCTCCATCCTCATTGATCCACCCTGAGCTAGTTTGCAAACACTATAGTAAGAGCCCTAGTTGCTAATGACCACCTAAAGATTTTTAGTTTCACTGGCTGTTTACCTGCTGCTCTCTGCGGAGGTGATGGCGATGAGAGGAGGAGTTCTCAGAGGGAGGCTGGTGGGTCTGGGTTGTGCTGTCTCCGTCTCCTGCCTCTTCTCGCAGTAGTACTGTTCAGCCTGTCGGAAGGCCAGTGGGGGCAGCTGCACGCTGCGACAAGAGAGCCTGCGGACGGTGAAGGGCTCCATGCAGGTCAGCGGACACGCCTCAGGAGACTCGGACGAGTCTGACACCTGAGGAAGAGACAGCAGAATCAAGGAGGAGAATGTACCCCTGGACGCAAGGCAATGTTGAGCCCAAAAACAGGCTTTCATTTCGGTGTTGCTTTCTGTTTGTGGAATCTCTCACAGGTAGACATGGTGGTTAAAAGCCCTGCTGTTGTTGCACTCAGTTGGCCTGGCCACAGTTTCACTCTTGGCCATTTAACAACAGCCACTGCTACTTTAGTTAAGCATTTTGAGAAACATAAATAACAAAACATATTGCTGCTGTCAGGCCAAAACCTTGCATCTCCATTTTTGTTATTTTTCATTATTTGACCTAGTTTAAAAAAGGCAGCTGCCCTTTTTGTTGTGTCACTTTGTCCATGATGAACAAACCAACAGAAATTGTCAAAAAATACTTGGAATTCTTTGTTTTCTCCATTTACTTCCATTGTAAGTTAAGAATGTTTTCCTTGTCCTGTAAAGTTACCTTTATGGAGATACAAGGTTTTGTTCCAACAGCGGCAATATATATTGATATTATGGAGCAAGTTATGTTAAATGAAGTTTTGTCCACCTTAAGAAGCTTTAATTATGTCAGATTAAAGAAGTAATGAGGCTTTTGCTTCTGAACTGGTGCTAATAAAGGAGTTATCCAATAACTGAAGGCCATGAAACTTCAAATTTATATAGCACTGTACAAAATTTAGACACCCCTAATTTATTTAATTATTTTATTCAGTCAGTGAAGGTTAATGGAAAATAAGTGAAAACCAGGAGTTTCTAAAACTAGTATAGAAAAATCTAGTAAAAGATACAGAGAAAATGGGACTCTGGACAACCATACAAGACCTGGTAGACCACCAAAACTGTCCCCATCAGATAAACAGTACTTAAAGTTTTCATCTTAGAGAGAGGAGGAAATCAAGCTCCACTCTTGATTCAGATCTGAAAATATCTACAGATGTTTCTGTCCATCCTTCCACTGTGAGAAGACAACTCAGCACTATGGGTCTGAAAGAATGTGTAGCTGTCAAGAAACTGTTACTGATGAAAAATTGCAAAGCAAAACTGATGAAAGTCTCTGCAAATGGAACAGACTAGCCATTTTGTAGTGTCTCAACAGCAATTCACAACAGCAGTGGCCACCCCAGAGTCTAGATCTCAACATCACTGAATGTATAGCGAAAAGCAGAAAATGCAACAAACTTCTAAGACTGAACTTTGACCAATTTGGAGGTGTAGAAAAAAATCTCTGCAGATTTCTTTGAAAATCTGAAAGCAAGCCTTCCAAAGAAATGGAAGCTATAATACATAAAGTATGGACACACTAAATACTGACAGATTTCACAGTATGTTTTGTTGCTGAGGCTTTTATGCAATTTTCTGCTTAAGCTATGTTTTCTGCTTTTTTCCTGGACAATAAAAAATTAACTACTTGTACTAATGACTACTTGACTGGAAATTAAATACGTCAAGAGTGATTTTCACCCCATTACCTCTCAACTCCAAGCTGTCCTCAAATCTTTAGTTTAGGAAGTTTAGGAAGGATCCAGCTTTCAACCATAAACCAGAACCAACTAGATCTCTATTCAGCTAAACTAGAACTTTAGAAAAGGTTATTTAGAAGTTCTAAATGAGACATGGTAATACAAGCAGATTAAATAATGCACACTGGATGATTATTAAATTTAAATGCAATTTTTTTCCTCTGGCTGCTTTAAGCAAAATCGACCACTTGACAAACACTGTGTGGTTACAATAAATTAGCTCTCCATTAAGCTTGGTCCTGATGGGCCTACTCTTTCTGCTTGATTAATGAGTGCTCAAATGAAATAAAATATGAAATGTGTTTGGCTGATTTTTAATGGTTACTTAACCCAAATTATTATGTAATACTATTTTGCAATGTGTAAAGATGCATTTAATTGCAACACTTATAAAAATGGGACCTTTTAGAAAAAGTCAAATATATAAAGATCATATTTCAAGATTTCTTTCTGGTGCATATGATGAAAGACATCTGCACTATATATATGAGGAATAGTGTGTATGAAGCTGTTGGTAGGTATGCATTCATCAATTTTTAAATTCAATATATAGATTTTACCTGCAGGATATATCACATATATCAGCATTTTGAATACTGAAAGACATTTGCTAATTTGTGTAAACGATAAAGCATGTACACATCTTCTTGAAGGATATATGAAAGCAAGGAGGCTCGTAGGGCTGACAAAGCCACAGATCAGATGCTTGTGATCAGGCCAGCTATTGCACACTGGGTGGAGGGGATCTGGATCAGTTGCATCATTACAGCATCATTGTTTTCATGTTTTTTTATATCATTGTGTCAATCATTATTTGGCATATCAGGAACAGCTGTGCATGGCTAATCATCTAAACATCTTAAGTCACCAACAGCAGTGCATGAGGGAATAATATAAATAAAGAATTCACATCTTAATTTACCCCTCCCCCCTTTCCCCATCTATCTGTCTCTCTCTCTCTCTCTCTCACTCTGTCTCTCACGCTTTCTTTGACACCAATTAAGAACTAACTACAAGCACATATAACATTTTTCAAGTGCAAGATGGAACCACTAGAGTGACAAACAATCTAGAACAATCTGGATACCTTTGTCATTCCTGTCACGACTGTCAATCCTGCTTTCTCCTGACACCCCGATCTGCTGAGAGACGAGAGTGTGCCTCCCGTCCCTCTGGACACACATGCCTTTATCGATCAGAAACACAGAAGACCAGCTTTCTCCAAACAGCCTCTGGCCAAATGGAAAAAGCAATCGCTCACTGAATTACACAGAGAGTTTCCTCAACGTACTTCAACCCCTCATCCAACCTGGTATTGTACCAACACGAAACATACCAACAGTGCACACCATGATTATGTTTGGCATTGCCTCGATTTTAATTTGCTGTTTTTGTGTTAGTTTCCCCCCATAATGAATTTATTCCACAATCTTAGAACATTGAAAGGCCAAGGTTTCATCCAAAGGCCTTCTCTCCACAGAGCTTTCTTCTCTGGCTATTCTGCCTTTCAAAACGTTTCCTTCATAAACCTACGGTCTATTGAGCTTACTCCCCTGAGGCGGTTTCAACGCACCGCATAAAAGTCATCTTCTCATTCATTATTAATGACTTCATTGACTTTAATTAGATAATACTGGGAGCCAAACAGTATGCTCCCCGTGAACGGAACAGTCGGGAATAGTTCTTCTTTTGGTCTGACCTTCAACGGCTACTCATTTTTCCCATGAAAGCAAACAAGCACTATTTGTCACGAAATAACCACTTCCTGAAGAGTTGCCTTCTAGGGGCTTGAATTCTAAAAAACACAGCCGTTTTTCATTTAGAGGCTTCAAAGTAAACTCACCCTGATGAAACTGGTTTACTGTAACTTTGCTAAATACGGTCAGCAGTGGTGAGTTTACTGGACTTTGTATTAAGATTAGCTATCAGCTAAATGCTGGAAAATGTGACAAGTCTTCAGTTCCCAGTCCAACTGAAGGTCAGTACTTCCATCTCAGAATAGTCTATCATACTATTGTGTACTGCTTTACGCTATATGCATTTTTACACAAGAAACAAATGTTACTTTCCATAGCTTTTTTATGTCTTGCACTTGAATAAAAGACAAGATGCCATTTCAAGACAGTTTCATCATCCACTTCTGTCCACTTACCATGAAATAACATCAACAACAATCAACTGTTCTTGATTTACAATGTGCAGCACCAGCACTACATCATTGCATGAAAAAACTAAATAAGCAACAGAAACAGCAGTTTGGAACCCCGTTAAATGTAGAGAAAGGAAAGAGTAAATCTGTTTACAGATGTATGCAGAAGTTTATGCACCCCTAGCCAAGTAAGCATAAACTCTGCAGCAAACCATATCACAGCTTGCAAACTCTATTTGTAGACAGCAAGGAGTCTTTCTATTCTTGCTATAGGAATTTTTACCCACTCCACCTCGCAGAACACTTCTAGTTCTGTGATATTCTTGGGCCATCTTGCATGCACAGCATGTTTAAGATCTACCCACAAATTTTCAACAATGTTTAAGTTAGGGGACTGTGAGGGCATTCCAAAAGATTCAGCTGGCAAGTAATTCATGGTGGATTTTGAGGTAGGCTTTGAATCAGTGTCTTAGCTTCAGATATATATATATATATATATATATATATTGATTTTGTGTTTGTGAAGAGAGCAGTGCATTTGGATTTGATTGGAGGGAAAAAAACATTTTTTTTCCTTTTGATGTCAAAATGTCCCCCAAGACACAGAGCAAAGGCCCCTTTTAGCATGTTGCCCCAAAATATTATTAAGTTAGAATTTCATCAGAAACTTACAAAGTTGCTGACAGTGGGCTGGCTATCCAGCATTAATGTTAGCTTTCTAGTTACTCTGAATGCTACTGCTTTGTTTAAATTGTTACTGTTATCACTGATGTCATACTACTACTACTCCTAATAACAATAACAATAATAAGAAGAAAAAGAAAACCATTAATGAATATACATAATATCATTATGCAGTTATTGTAATCACAATAAGTACTTAATTCATAAACAAAATTGACATCTAAAATGTTTTTGTTTTACTGTGATTTCTTTTTTGTCACACTTCATCAAAATGAAGTGAAATCATCGACAAAAACTGATAGAGGTGTCAATTTCATGTTAAATATATATTTAAATATGTCTATGTACACCCCTGTTTCCAAAAAAGTAAATAAAATGTAAATAAAAACAAAAATAAACCCTATACTTAATTGAAAATAGTAAACTTTAAATACTGGGCTTCCTCAGGTTCAGAAATGGAAATGGTTAAGCTTACATGCTGACAGACATAAAAATAACTTTGCATTATTTATTTGTTTATTTGTATGTATTCTAATCTTGTATTTTTAAACAAACAAATGCTTACTGTCCAGATTACTGGCATTACATGTAATTTTCTCAGAAGCCTAAGACATGTGCACATCACTGCATATTCTGTATATATCTGACCACTTAGAAATATCAGTTTTCATTTTAGATCCACAATCTATAATTCATGGTACCTCTTACCTGCAGGTTTAATACTTTTCCAAGAGCAATTCCATTTTCAATATTAAACTCAGCATCACAGCAAAATGACTCATTCCTAAATCATGCCCACCATACTATGAAATCGGGCATCTAAACAGGTGGTAATGTCTCCTTGCATATGGTGAAGAGCAAACAAACATATTGCCTGTCTGAACTGATGGGTCGCTCCGAGCCAGTGCCAACAGCATGGACATAGCTGAATGAAGCAGCAAAGCCTCATGGGAAACAAATTAACCCTGCAGAAGCTCTCTCCCTTTCACGGACAGCACCTTAATCTTATTACCTGGTTGAAATATGCAACACATCAGTCAGGCCATAAATAAATAAGGGGGTAAATAAGCAAACGATAGATATAATTAAGGGTGTTTTCACAGATGTGCTGAAGATACAAACATTCCAATTAGCTCAGCTGCTGCTGCGTAGTGCTACACTGCATTTGGCAGACTATTAAATATGAATAAAGTGGGGGCACACTGGATATTGGCACGACCCCTCCCCAACCTTGAAATGCTATGCACATTTAGTGAGCTATATGAAAATGAGCTCCTGCTGTTGCAGTGTAACTAGGGCTGGAAATATATTGGGATTCAAATTATACAATTATTAAATCGTGATGATGTTTGTCTATGAGATTAAAGTCGAAGAGGGTATTCTTTCTCGCGGAGGACTATCATATCATCGAATATCAAATGATATGAGCTTTTGAGCATTACCCTTGGGAACCTGAAAAGCCATGAAAATCTTTTTGTTATGATCAGTGGCTGGCTGTGTCACACTTGACCTCAGAACATACAGAAAGCAATTCATACTGAATTCCCCATATAAATTGATGGAAATAAGCCCCGACACCTCATTTGCTTGTAAAAATCCACAAATGCTCAATGGGAGCTGCAATAAAGCCAATATACGTTGCTAAGTCCACAAAGACCTTCCTGCTGCGTGATTGAACTTCAAAGCCACAATCAAGGCTTTCAGAAAACAGAACAGTGACCCAGCAGTGCATTTTCTATAGCACCACAACAATACCTGAGGGCACATTTCCTCGAAATGTAAGAACCAGATGTCACTGATGCAGGGAACTATATTTAAAAGTACAAAATGCTCTGCTTACATCTGTACTGTGAAAGAGGAAAAACTTCTTCTTTTGCTCAGAATAATGTTTCATTTGAGTTCAGTCAAGCTCAGTTCAGTTAAGTTCAGCCAAAAATGCGGTATGTAAAAGTAAACACAATAATGCGCTTAATTTGGCTGAACATCTGCTGGACCCCACTCAAGCATTTCCTAGTTACTAACATCAATATTCATTAAATAGCCATAGCAATGAAAGTCAAGAGTTTTCAACATGGTCTGTTTTTGCTGGACATGTTTGAAACCCAAGCTATCATCAACGCTGACAAACTGCAGGCATATCTGCAGAGTGCACTATGATGTATTAAAATGTGCTAATCATCATTTAAACCATTAGATCACAGATAGCAGTTAGTGTTTTTTCCAGAATTTTCTTTTTCTATGTTCAGAGTGAAGTCTTATACTGTATGCCTTAAAAGGCCTAAATTGATTTCACTGAGTATCTTTTATGAACTAAATTTAGACTATTTTAACAAATCAATACTAACACAATTTGATCTTATAGACTGCCAATTTTAAAAATCCCTGTTTTGGCTAGCAGATGCTAGTGCTAGTCTGCTGAAGGTGAAAACATAAGGCCATTTTGTGTTTTGTGAATGCTATTAGGTGGATCTGGGGTGGGTATCATGGGAAATAGACCTTAGATCTTATAGTGGAGTTCTGCAGTAATGCTGTTTCTAAGTCCTCAAACAATGCATGCTGTCATTGTGTCTCTTAGCAAGGCACTTAAACGAAGTTACTTTATTTGATTTTTTTCTGAGAGGTGATGGCATGGAATCTCATATGTGCTTCTGCCTAAAACAACCCTACTGACTTATTCTCCTCTTTAGAGTGAGCCTAAATTGTCGTTGTTGTGGTGGTGATTTAGCGCAATTTGCATCATTATTCCTTCAAATATATTGTGAGCTCTCCCCAGAGTTTCCATATCCAAATGTAACTGAACTGCATGGCAGTTTTTTCGATCAGTGTTTCCCAAACCTGGTCCTGGAGAAACACTGCCCTGTACATTTTAGTGTTTTCCCTGCTGCCACCCACCTGACCCAATAATCAGCTCATGAACAAGCCCTTACTGAGTTGAAGCCGGTGTGTCAAAGCAGGGTAAGCACTAAAATGTGCAGGGCAGTGTGTCTCCAGGACCAGGACTGGGAAACACTGGCTTAGATGGTGGAGAAATATACTCTTCAAATGTGATGTCACTTCGCACAGGGGTTGCAGGTGCTTTTCCTGCAAGTGGCTTAACAACAAGCTGACTGGCTCTTTTTATTTAAGGGTTGGGGCATTCTCTGCAAAGAGCTGCCATGTTGACCATTATGAGCCTTCCCATTCATATTTCAACCACTGACTAGTCTCTTCCTTGATGACTCTTGATCTCTGTTCTTACTTACAGCCTTCCAGTATGGCACAGGGTGGAAATCGTATCACACTAACCCACCCCTACATGCTTGAGACTGAAGAGGACGATTCTGAACACAAACCTGACCCTGAACCTGACAGTCCTCGCAGCCTTGTAGCATCTTCTCAGTGCCGCTATTTAGGTCAGATTCTACACTCATGTTAGCTAATCTAGTTAACTTATGCCTCCATTAGCTAGTTAACGAGGCATTTTTTTGAATAATTTAGCCAGTAGGAGAAAATGTAACAAAATCTTGGGACAAAAGCATGGCAAAGATAATGTGTAAATAAACACAGCACAAGGCAAAAGTATCCAGAGCTTTCATTTAGTTAGCTAGAAGTTTTGCACTTGAATATGTGCTGGACGCTTTCCGGCTGTCGACCCCACTGGCTGGACATGTTTCCGCCGTATGGACCTAGCTAAATTAGCCATGATAGCTAATAATAAAAAAATACTTACCGTATTGTCATCCACATTGCCTGCAGTAATGATAAATGTCAGAAAAGCTTGTGTCAGCTGGTAAATTCCAAGCTGCACTGAGCCCAGTTTTTACATGTCTGCAGTAAAATGCTCACTACAAACTCTTAAACTGGATGTCACTTCAAGCCCAGAAAAAAATTAAGCCATTTTGCCTTGGTCTCATTGTTTGGAACTGAATGCAGAGAGTGACCTTAGTCCCTCTTACAAAACGGACCATTTTCTCATATTTCCTATGTGAAGCAACGTGGTGTGTCGGAAGGCGAGTTCATTTCACAATTCATGAATACACAATATAAGGTAGTTGCTGTGGTCAATTAGCTTTATGTATGATGTCAAATATTACACCAAATAAATTCCAAAACGGCAGTTAGAAACCCTGTTTCCAGAAAAAGTTGGGACTCTAGGCAAAATGTAAACAAAAACAAAATGCAATGACGTGCAAATAATTTAACCCCAATATTTAAATGAAAATTTGATCTTTTGGGCCCTCAGGCGGCACTGCATTAAAAACTGACATGATTCAAAGTGGAAAAGTCTCCTGTGGTCCAACAAATCAAAATTTGAAATTCTTTTTGGAAATTATGGACACAGCATCCTCTGGTCTAAAGACCACCCAGCTTGTTCTCAGCACACAGTTCAAAAGCCAGCATCCATGATGGTATAGGGGTTCATTAGTGCATATGGTGTGGGTGACTCACACATCCGCGAAGGCACCATTAATTCTGAATGACATACAGGTTTTGTCAACATATGCTGCCAACCAGATGACGTCTTTTTCAGGGAAATGTACTACAACAGCGTGGCTCTATAGTAAGGGTTAGGGTGCTAAACTGGCCTGCCTGTTGTCAGGTAGACACAGATTGTATAAGATTTTGAGTAAGAAGGAAAAATACTGTGCTGGGCATATAAATGTGCTGCTATTTTTTTTTTCAATCATAATCTTTTCCAATGTTTTGCTTATTTTCCTGTGTAAAGCATTTTGAGTTTCTTATAGCTAAAATGAGTGCTATTTGAATAAAGATGTATTATTATTATTATTATTATTATCAATATTATTATTATTATTATTATTATTATTCATGTGTGTCCCTCTCAGGAGCAAACACCAAAGTAAGTTAGTGTGTCAGTTAAATGATTTGTCATGATAGATAAAAGTTCTATTGTTGCACATATTGCATTATATTTTTGTTATGTGTATATTTGCAGTGGTACAGAATGCTTCAGTGCACTCACGCTTTCCATCTGGCTCTCTCCGCTGCAGGCATTTTCCTGCATTGTGTGGCCCTTGGCTCGTAGCGAGTGGCCCCAGCCTCTGGGAGAAATGCTTCCTGGAAGAGATCAGAGAGAAGATGGGATCAGATCTCCAATGAAATCCTCGAAGAAGAGTGAATCATGGTCCCAGGAGAAACAGACTACGACAGTTGCGGGAGTGGAATGCAGTGTTTTGAGGTCAACGCGCTGGGTTCTCGGAAAACAACATATAAACAATAGGTGCGTAATTCTGCACAGAATGACCAAAGTTGAGTGAGAACCCATTTTGATTTGATGCTAAAATTATCCTCAAAAGAAACTACCCAAGAATTCCTCAGAATAAACAAAATAAAATACCATGGAAAAGAGCATTGAACTAATTATTGAATGAACAGTCTGCTAAGAATAGCTTTCCCTTGAACAAATGTGTTGACTTTATGACGTCAGCCTACACCATAATCTGTCCATGCACACTGGGCTGTGACCTGATACACTGGCAAGTTCTGGGATCTTCCATCCAGGCTGAGCAAACACTTTTTTACTATAGCTGAACAGAAAAAAGGACCCTGAATGAAAGAAAGGTGCTATGCAAATAGAAGGTGTTATTATTATTATTATGTTGCTTTTACTTTTTGCGGTGACTTTGAGTTTTGCATGGCTCTGCAGCTCATTTGCATATCCCGTGGGCCCTCGCAGAAGGCCTGCCTTGGTGTTAAATTTTCCATTGTGCTGTATTAGCTGCATTTGTGTAGTATTTAAGCTACATAGTGACTTTGGCTAGTGATTCCTTACCTTACCGTTCTTGTCAAAAGCAAGTGAAATTATTACCCGCTGCTCATTTTTCCTTGGGAGGGCATTCTCCTGGCTAACCACCAAGCACATGATATTGTGCTGTAAGCAAGCAAACTGCTATTAAAGGTCATTTCTGGTTTAAACATATTCCTTGGTCATACCACTTCTGTGCTTATGCTATAACACTGGCATAGGTGATAAAGTCTAATGGGTAACTCTAACTGCCCTCTTTTTGGGCCTATCCAAAGACACAGCCTGCAACAATCAGCTCCCTCTCCTCCATAGAGAATGGAACCACATGGCTCAACGTGTTTGATTCAACTCACTTGAGGGTGAATTGGCCCAGCTTTAGAAGCTTGGCTTCACACAGCACCATTTGGGCTTGGAGAGCAAGTATGTGTGAGACCCCTACAGATCTCAGCTCCTCTTTTCCAAAGGTTTGTACAAAGGAAACAAACAAATAAATGCACCAAAATACCCCAAACTCACATAAAAAAAGGGATTTAGGATCAACTGAAAACAAAAATCTTCAAAAAGCATTCTATATTCTTTTCCTATCTCTCTGAAGTCGAGCCTGTTGTGAGCCAAAGATTTGGGTTCTCTGTGTGAGGTTCTGAATAAAGCCCTGTTCCTGTGCAGAAAAGCTATTTTGTTAAGGTTTTGTTTTTTTTTTTCTCTCCCCTGTTGGGTCCTCCATTTTAGTTTCAGAGACGTCCAGCTCTGTCCCCATGAGAGGAAATAAAGCTGCCCTCAGCCCGTCTTGTTGAGGCTACCATTGACAGCTTTGGGAGCATTTAAAAGCGGCACTTGTATATGGCTTTTTTGTGCCCTTTCTTGGGGATAAAATACAAAAATATCAAGGACTAAGGGGGAAAATAAGAAAAAATATTGGTAGGAGGTAGAGGCTGTGATCAAACCCATAGGTGGGAGTGGGGCCTATATCTTGGAAAATATAACAGAAACTGACAAATATCTGGAAAACTGTTGTCAGCCTATAGAAAAGCTGTAAAAGTGTTTCCACCAGGGCTTCCCAATAGAACTCAAATGGCCAGTGCTGATAAATAACATTTCTTCTATGAAAACACCAGCTTTTATGTTGAGGCTCCTAATGGAACACTTGTTCCTAACAAGCTAATGTTCCTAACAATGATTTAAAGTGAATAGCCACAGTTTAGCGTTATGCAAAAGACATCATGCTAACTGGCGCTTAATAGCTTCCATTCTCTGTTAGCCACATTAGCAAGTGGTTGAGCTATTTCTTTAAGAGGAAATTAGGTTGACCTATCATGAACTGGTTCCTCATGGAATTATTGCTGTGATTCTGTTGGCCACTGGATGGTAGTTGCAAATTACATATGATCATCTCTACTGAAATGTGAAATATGTACAGCATTCCTATTTGCAATGGAAAAGATATTTACATATATATTTCACAATATGTTAGTATAATTTATATAAGCGTAAATATATTGCTATATAATGTCACAAGGTCCTCTCTGAAATGGGTCTTGAACCCTGTTGTCCCATGTGAGGAACTCAAGGAAGATGAATATTAACCACTACAACACATTCAGTAACTGTGAGTTTGGTTATGAACGTTAAGTTATTCATTTATTTACAGTGTTTAGTTGAAATGTAGTGTTTGCTAATCAGCTAATTTAAAAAAAGATAAAGTCTGATTTTTCCAGCCTGATCTTTACTTCATAGCTTCAATAAAGGTTTTAATTAGCCTTGGACTCTTAAAGAAGGAAACAAATAACACAAAACTCCTTTTATATCTCTGATCACATAAATTACTATATCATTGGCCTTTAGTCTGGCAATTTTTTAAATTTTTTGGTACATATGCCCCCTTACCCCAAAGTTAGTTGATTAGCCAAGACACATTGGATTCTGAAGTTTTGTACTTCAGTTTTCCAGTGGAGCTACAAGGCTAGTCTATGTTTATACAGATTTCAGGTAGAATAGATGTCTATTACTTGGTAGAAACTTTAGCCTCGTAGCTCCCGGGAAAAGGAGAAACGTGTCAATTTGATTTTTAGTGTATCATTCCTTTAAAAAATCATCGCTCTCTAAGCGTTGGCCCTATCATCAAGAGATCGCGAGTTCGATCCCTGGTGATGCTAGCCGGGAGTCCAAGAGAGCACAATTGGCCTCGCTCTCTCTGGGTGGGTAGGATGGCCCCTCCTTTTCCCCCCATCACTCAACGCGATGCTAGTCAGCGCAGGCGTCTGTTAGCTGACGTAACAGATCTGGCGGTTGGCGCTTTCCTCCGAGCGCGTTCGGCTGTCCAGTGACGTTGCGTGAGCGGCAGTTCGAAAAGAAGCGGTGGTTGGTTTCACAGGTCTCGGAGGAAGCCTGTGCTAGCCTTCACCCTCCTAGCGTTGATAGCGGGTGGAATTGGAAACGACTAAATTGGGGAGATTGGGTAAAAATCAAAAAAAAAATAAAAAATCATCGCTCACATTCTTCTATGAAATCATAAAGAAATAGTAAGATTAACTTGCACAGAATTAGACACAAAATGTCCATATTTTATCTGTAGCAAAACTCAACTGGGCGTGATCAGGATTCTTATTCTGGGGAGGCAGCTAAATATGACACCTGCTTAAATGGTTTTAAATAGACTCTGTTAGTCCTATACCTTTTAAGTAAAATTAGCATAATTATTCTGATTGACCTTGGAGTTACACTGTACCCTGATTTGGCTCCTTCAATTACACATAATGGTAGCTGAGGGATTTTTGAAGAAAGCAAAGTCACCTTCAGTAGTTTGGGAAGGTGGGAAAACATCCAGTACTTTAACATCTTGAAAGCTGTGTTTAATGTACAGGCTTTCAGAACAGAGTGATGCTTGGAAGATTCCCAGGTAAGGTAAAGGGCCGATCACAGCATGAGGCTCTACACATCTGCCTGGTCATTAAAAACATTACTGATTAAGTCAGGGCATTCTTCCAGTTTTCTATTCAGAAAGATTCAAGAGTCCTTCTACAATGCTATTTTGAAATTAGTTTCACATCAAGGATCAACAGCTTTTTGGCCTCTACAGAAGCAATGCAAAACCCTAGGACTCAGATAAATAATCCCATTATGTCTAAAATGAAAGTTGTTATATTAAAATTACATGTGAAGTGACAATGTTGGACCAGTAACACATTTGGACAAAGGTTTTATTCAGCAACAGTGGAGATGGAACTTTCATTTAAACTAAATTAAATACTTTAAGTAAATAATCATAACTAAGGTGTAAGGTCACTTAAAGCAAAAGGATTTTAGCCTGAAATGTGTTTTGTGACTTTGTACCAGTTGGGTAGAATGATCCATATACAGTACTGTGCAAAATTAAGAGACTACACTTTATTTATTTCATTTTCAGTCAAAATGCCCATTAACCTATTCATGTTTCAGGAGGTATTTCTGAGGAGATTACAAACAAACCAAGAAGCTACTAGTGTCAGAACAATGAACTGACCACCCTGGAGTCCAAACCTCAACATCACTGAATTGTGATTTGGAATTACTTGGATTGTGAGAAGCAGAAAATGCAACCAACCTGTAAGACTGAATATCCTTGCAGACTTCTTTGAAAAACTTAAAGTAAGTCTCTGTAACAAAGGTAAAGGATGGAGACACGAAATACTGTAAATAAAGATATAATATTTAGTTGTTGAAGCTTCTGTGTAATTTTCAGTTAAATATATGTTTTCTGCTTTTTTTTTCCTGATGCTGAAAAACTAATGCTTAGGTAGTCTCTGATTTGGCAGAGTTCTGTATATACAAACACATACATAAACATATATAATCATATATATATTTTCAATTTTATACATGGCATTGAATGTTGTTGACTTAAATGGCACTCTCTTCACGAAGTGACTCTTAATTGATTAAATAAGTGCATGCTATTGTGATTTGCTGTGCATTGACAGTGAAAGCATTACAGCTACCCCAATAGCAATCACAGTGGTCTCGCAATGGTCACAGAACAGTCGTCATGAACTTTCAGCTTCGGATCAGCATTTTAATCCAGAGTATCTACTGTGCCAGTATCTCAAACAGAAGCCAGAGACAATAATGTCCCAGGACAGTGTGTGTGTGCGCAACTATGCATTTCATATGCAGAAAATATTCAATATTGGTTGAAGCCAAAGGCTTAGCGTTTGCAGGAGAAGTGGTCTTTTTCATGCTCAGACAACTCCTCGTCTCTTCTTTTATATCAAAGTGGAATCAAGCCAAAATTACCCCACATTTCAGTTAGACTCACACCCTCCTCCCTGGTTTAGAT